CGTGCGCCCCTGGCCGCCGCCGCCGCTGCTGCGGGGTCCCGCCCGGCTCTACAGCTCGCGCACCGGCTCCCGCGTCCCGGGTTACAGCCGAATTCAGGCACGATCCTCCGGTGCTCATGCAAAAGAGCCCGGGCTTCCGCGAGGAGGTGGCGCGGAGTCGGAGGGGGGCGGGGGGTCGCGGAGAGCGGGATCCGCGCTGCTCGGGCCGCGCTCCGGGCGCCGAGGCTAACCTGGAATCCGAGGGCGAGTCCGAGCCCGGGCTGGAGGAGCCGGCCGGGCTCTGGCGGGGAGGCGGCGGGGTCGACGGCTGGCGGCGAGGCTTACCTCCGTGCGACCCTCCCCTTCCCGCCTCCTCCCCTCCCCCACCGGCTCCAGCCGGGCTCTCGGGCGCTTATTGTTTTAATGAGATTGTTTGGCTGTTGTTGTTTTGGTCCTGCAATGTGATTTTTTTTTGTTTGGTTTTAAAGCTGCGAGTGACTCGTCCTCGCCTCGCTCGGCCTCTTTCGCAAGGTTGTTTTTTGGTTTTTTTTGTTTTGTTTTGTTTTCACAGAGGTCTCAGTGCATCCATTTCCCGCCCCCCACCCGTCCCCTCTTAGATCCTCTCCGTGGACGGCCCGAACGCGAGGCTCTGGCAGGCGCCTAGGAGGTCGCAGGCGGCGGCTTGAGCTCTCCGACGGGTCTGGGCGACGGGCGAGGGAGCTCCGGGGTGGCGGTGGCGGCGGCGGGTCTCCGGGCCGGGCGCCGGCAGGGGAGGCAGGCGGACTTCCCCAGCAGGATCTCCATGGACAGCCACATCTTCAGGGCCGCTCGGGTTAATATATGTCGTCAGAGGCTGCGCACGCCAATCCGGGGGCGGCGGGGGCGGCGCCTCGCGCTCTCCGCAATAAAACTTTTTGATGTTCCAGTTGCTAATTGCCGGGGTCCTGGTCTAGGATTGGCTGTTCGCTCATAACCATAAGGTAATTAAAACAAGGGAAAGGGGGCAGGGTTAATTTTTTTTTTTTTAGCAGCCAGAGGTTAATTCAAGTGTTTAACAGATGCTTCACTATTTAAAAAAAAATCACAATATCCCCCCCCTTTCAAGTCTCAAATATTGAAGAATCGCAAACCAGGTATTGTATCACTCCACTTTATTTTCTAGACTGTGTGTGTGTGTGTGTGTGTGTGTGTGTAGCTCCAAACCAGGAAGGCGGATACAGCTTTTCCCCAGGATTTTGGTAGGCAATCGAGCCAGGAAAAATTAACCGGCGGCCTGGTGCCGTTTTGTGTGAGAGCCTTCTTGGGCACAGGAACCACCACCACGGCGGGGAACGGCTCCGGGGGGCCGAGGTGGGGACTCGGAGCGGCTGCGGGACGGGTGCAGTCCTTTGACCTGGCCCGCGCTGCAGGCGATGGTCCCCAGGGTTCTTGGCTTTCTCGATCACATTTCCATCAGTTTGCGGGAGAGGGGTGACTCGGGTTATTGTGACAACTTAGAGAGATCGCATTTGAGATCCTCCTCTCCACACTCCCCCACTCCCTCACCCACCTGGGGTGGACGAACAGCCCCAACTGATCGTAAATGCTTTCCTTTCCTTGTAGTAGAGGAATGCCAGCCAGCCGTGGAGAGACTCCCTGGACGTCCAATTTCAAAGCGCGGTGAGAATCGGCGGTGTGGCCGGGCTTGGTGTTCCCTGGGTTTAACTAGCCTGTTTGGTAAGTAACTGAATATTTTTTACAGCGTGTTCAGAGCTTATTTTCCAGTTTTTATGAACAAACATATAAATACATCTCTGCATTCCCGCCTCCCCATAAAAGCGGGCATCTGTGGAAAGCAGGTTTAGTTATCGGAGGGGAACTATTAAACGCCACTTTAAGAGGCGGGCCGGGAGGACGGCTCGTGGATGTTTAGACTGCAGGCCAGTGGTGATCTCGGACGTACTTTGATGGGAAATGGATCTCCACGTGTAAGTCGCCGGGCCGCAGGGCCCTCGGGCGGCGGCGCGCTCCGGGTGGAGAGCCCCCGCGCAGAGCTTTCGTGGCGAAGGTGAGGACCGTCCAGGGGTAGGAGTTGAAATCGTCCAGGAGTGGTGGACCCCCCCCCACTTCGGGGAGGATGTGGATGGCAAAAAGATTTGGCCCCCCGGTGGAGTCTGGTGTGGAAAAGAGTGTCAACAGGAGTTGGTGGGCTGTAAATTAGAAGGGCGGAGCGGGTGGAGCGCAGGGTGTGCGGCCTTGGACCTGGCCCGCTTCTGCCACGACAGACGGACAGACGGACCGAAGCCTTTAGATCTACGAGCAGCGCAGGCGGGAGACCAAACCCGGCCGGAGGGAGCCCAGTTAGTTCGGGGACTCGGGGTCGACTCTGTGGTTAAGGGCCAGGTCAGTTCCCAGAGAGGACATAGAGGACGCGGTGGTGCTTCGGGGGCCTGGTTGAGTCTAGAGCACCAAGAAGTAAATACAATTAAAGGCATATTGCAATTAGTTGGGCGGTTGGAGAAGGGATGGAGCTGAGGACTGTAAAAAGCCAGGCTGGGAGTCCAAACATATCCGCTCTTCTTCAGCTCCCTTAAAAGGGAGCCGAGCGACTTGTGGCAGAGGGTAGAGCAAAGGGGAGTTGCTGAATCCCAACCTGTTGATGAGCGCTAGGGGCTTGCATTTGGTATCAGAACAAAGTAGCAGCCAACAGCTGCGTGCTCCCAACCTGGGTGGGTCTGTAGAGTTTTGGACCCGAGGAGATTTTTTTTTTTAAAGGAACTTCTTAAAGGCAAGAATACAGGTAGGGTGGCAGGATTCTGTTTACATTTCATCAGGAGACATACCCTAAATGTGTAAATACTAGTAGTTCAATCCTCTGACATTGGGTACATTAAAAAAAATCTGTTTATAAAAAAACACATTTAGGCCTTGGGCTCAGGTAGACTAAGTAAGATGGTTATTCTTGATCTAAGTATTAATAAAAATAGAGAAAATATTTGTTTGGTTGTCTTCAGGAAACAATATTTAGGTGATTAAAAGAAAATAAAAAGAATCCAGAAGATGGCTGGGTTGGGGATGGAGAAGCTACCCTCTAGAGGGGAGTGGGTGCAGTTGTGATGGGTCAGAACTTATCACACCTAGCCTTTCCCAAGCTTTAAAATGGAAACAACAACACAATGAGGGAATGGATTCGATTCGTGGCCCCAGATAGTCTCATGGCAAGTGATAAAAGAAACGGACAGCTTGGAACAGAAAAGGCTCGTAAATGATGCTAATCTGAACATTACTCCTCACTGACAGCATCATTATCAGTTAATTACTACAATCCAGGGATGATCGAAAGCTCTGTGTATCTCAGAAACCCAAACTCCAGCGGTTAGAGCCTTAGAAATGCAGAACATTGATGGCTAGGGGACACGTTGGTAAGCTCTAGGGTGTCTCCCCCACGGTAGTAACTGATTCAGAGAGGCCAGACGGGTTCTGAACGCACCACAAAACACATTCACTGGTTTCTTTTCTTGCTGTTTTTCGTGGTTCATGTTTGATCCAAGAATTCGAGGGTGTTAGCCTGCTGTTGTGGAAAGCTGTGAAACTAAGGTGTCGTCTTAAGTTCATCCCCAATTTAGGTAGCTAGGGATGGTAGTGCCAGAGTCAACTGTAATGGTAGTAATAGAAAGAGTGTGGTGTCAGTTTAGATGTTAGCCTGAGGACCCCCTACCCCCTCGTGGGTTGAACTAGAATGGCTTCTGGTATACACTGCCCCCCAAAGGATACATATTGAGAACTCTGAGGAGTCAGAAAAGTGTGATGATGCACACTGGGGAGCTACTCTGGGTGCCCTGGGAGAAAGCCAGGGGTTGTGGGAGGAAAGGCAAGTTTCCTTTCTAACTCCTTCCAGGCTGAAGGCTGAGGGTCCTGGGTCTGGAGACCAGTTATGGGGAGGGGAGGCAGCCTAGGTTTGAGGAGTGTTGGTGATTGTGTGGCCGCAGTCTTGGTCTTAGCTGATGATGTACTTGCAGTGCTGCAATATTACATTTGCCTCCAACTAGACCAACAGCGCTGGCTTCAATCATATACTTTGGGCCCCAGTCTCTGGTCTCCTTTCCTTTAGAAGTACTACAGCTTTCCTTAGAAAAGATTCAACTAGAAAGGCTGAACACGCCATTGCAAATGGTTTTAGTGTTGTGAGGCATTCCTATTAAAATCAAGCTGGGTTAAGCTAAAGTATTTTTCTTTGAACTCTAGGCTTTTTTAAAGGAAAAATATAGACATTTTAAAGATATTTATTTATTCAGTGGCAAGAGCAATTTTGCATCTTGTGTTTTGCTCATGAAAACTCAAAATAAACCGGACCCAAAAGAGACCAGCTCAGAAGGTCATAAATACACGTTGTATATTTACAGGAGTCAGGATTCAAATCCTTCATTTGTCTTTCAAAAGACTTTTTAGCCTTTTTTCTTAACCAAAGCTGTAGAAATAATTTTTGAGCATGCTTCTACATATCTCTAGTAAGGTGAACTCCAGATCATGCTCAGGACTCAAGAAAGAATATGAAACCCAGAAGATGTCAGGAAAACTAGTATGATTTTGCAGATGCAGTCTCAGCCCGCCCTACCTGCTCCAAAAACAGTGCTTCTTGTGACGCGGGTGGCTCTCATTACTTTCTTGAACAGGGCTGCATCATTTTATGTGTTAGGCACTAACTTCTACAACGTTTGAAACATTCAGAACGTGGCACATGGGCTGAGCAGCTGCAAAGTTCTCCCTCTAACTAGAGTTCTGGAGTTCTTCCTCTTGGCGAAATGATGCCTGTAAACTTGGCAAAAACAAACAAACAACAAAATAACCATCCCTCTAACACCCAAAATGAAGTGTATGA